TTTAATTGAGATAAAGATTTTTTCTAGTTTAATAAAAAAATCAAATTAGACAAATATTTTAGGCGAGATATAATATTTTGTAGGATTTGATCTCCGCACATGGAAGATAAGGGGTACTCCCTCCGTCTCATTTTATATTAGCTAGTTTAACTAGTTGTTTTTCTAATGAGGTAAAACTTGTACAACTAATAATATCTCTGTCCTAAAGTATTTATCTAGTTCTAACTTTTTATAGTCAACCACAATCAGTCTTTTATTTATATTTAAATAAAAATCACATGACACAATATATGTTAGCTTTGATATCAGTCAAATATAAACTCTTAAATAGATTGAAATTGAAAAGTTGATCGGTCATTTGTCCTCGAAGTGTGTGACTTAAATATCTTTCATAAAGTGAAATTCTCATTGTATGCTTTTATAAATATTTTATTATAGCTCAGGCGACATAACTCAGATAATTGAGAGGTGACTAGGCGAGTGCTAAAGAGGGCAAATCCAGATCATAGTCCTGCCAACGACGATAAAGAATGATTGTGCCTATTGTTAAAATTCGAAAACTTTTTTTAGATCACAACTACAAACTTGAAATATTGATTGAATTAGTTTTCTTTTTTTGATAAATTTTTACAAGTATAGTTTGAGGTCTAGAATTGCTTTTTTTTTTTCCATCTAAATCTGAGAATAAATTTTTGTTAGTGACTTGGAAGGGGGAGAAGAGTGTTTAATAAATAAATTAATTAAAGATAAGAGGGGAGTATAATTGTGATTTGGTTGGATCGTGGTGAGTGACGAGGACAATGCGGCCGGAAATTTCCATGTAAGTTCTACAAACCGCATGATAATCCGCAAAAAAAAATTGCTTCTCTTTTTGGTGTGTAATGTTCTTTTCGTTCTCGCTTTAGGCCTCCTCCTCAACAGTCCGTGGGTGGGGTGGGGTGGGGTGGGTTGAATTGTGGAGCCCACACTGGTCCTCATCTTTGCTGGCTCCAAGCTCTCCATGGTTGGTTTTTAATGGGGTTTGTCTGCTGAGAGAGACCGGAGTTTCAGTTGGCCCAATCCAACCAACCAAATTACATAACTACCCACTCCCTTCTTCTTCTTCTTCTTCTTCTTCAAATCTCTCCATCTGTAACTCTTTCTTTTTCTTCTTCTTTCAGTATATCTTCTTCTTCTGCTGCCGATTCGATCTCTTCTGTCATCATCATCATCATCATTATCATCTTCTCCGGTGCGTGCTTTTTCTACAGTGAAAGACCCAATCTCGATTTGATTCGCCCAATCCACAGATCTCATACATCTTTCGCATTCAGATCTTCTCTTTCCCATCATAAAGGTAGGATCTTTAATTCACTATTTGCGCATTTGGCATCTGGGTTTTCGTCTTCTCAATTTCAGCCCCTTTGACCCAACAGTATTATTATGTTGAAAAGTGAATTCCTTTTTCTCCCTAGTTCCTCCCTCTTCTTCTTCCTCTTTTTTTTTTTTTTAAATTAAAAAGAAAATAAAATGGCTGGAAGTCCCCACCCCACCCCCAACCCCCACCTTTTTGTATTGCCGTTGATTTTTTCTTTCTTTCCGGTTTATAGATGTTTTGCGGCTGTCTTATTCATGATTTTTTTTATGGATGAGAAGAAGAAGAAATAGAAATGGGTTTTGCATCCTTGCACAGTGGCAGCAGCTGGAAGAGTTCAATTTCCTAAGCTGTAATTTTTTTTTTAATATTTGTTTTGTTTCCAATCATTTGCAGGGTCATTGCTTGGGTTTGCAGGGGAGACTGAGGGCATTCAAGCTTTGATTTTTTTCCCCTCTTCTTTTCATCTGTGAAGAGTTGTTGGATCGAGTGGTGTTTTTATATAGATGAGGCGAACCAGGAGTGTGGTTTGGGTGAGATGAGGGATGTTATCTGGGTTCATGAACCTGTTTCGGGCCTGTTTTGGGCCGAGGTCAGATCGATATGTCCGCTCCAGCTCTGACTCCGGAGGCCGTCAAGATGGGCTCTTGTGGTATAAAGACACTGGGCAGCATTTCAGTGGGGACTTTTCTATGGCAGTAGTTCAAGCCAATAATCTACTTGAAGATCAGAGCCAGCTCGAGTCCGGCTGTTTGAGCACTCATGATTCCGCGGGCCCTTTTGGCACCTTCGTTGGTGTCTACGATGGCCACGGAGGCCCAGAAACTTCTAGATTCATAAATCACCACCTTTTCCAACACCTCAAGAGTATGTTTCCATTCTCTTTAGTGGATTCCATCTAAAACTTATTTTGATCTCTTAGTTAGCTCAAGATGGTGAGCTAACTAAAGTATTGCTTCTGCGTTGAAGTTTCAGTGTAATCCGTAGATATGATCATATTTCAAATAAAAATATGCTTTTTTTAGTGTTTCATATGATAATAACTCCATGAACATATGAATATGGTAAGGAGCTTTTCTGGTGGCCTTTGTTTTCAACTTTTAAACCCATTTCACAAGCTATAATTGGTTGTGAGAGGTATACATGTGGTTAGAGGTCATAGTTGTTTTCACTGAAATGGAAAAGATTGCCATCTCTACCTCTTTTAGTAACTTATTTTCTGTAAAAATATATTTTCTTTACAAGAAAAAAAACCCTCTTTTAAGATAGCAACACACTTATTTCTTGAGGTGGTGACAAAAGTGGTTTCTTTCTTGCAGGGTTCAGTTCTGAGGCACAAACAATGTCAGCAGACGTGATCCGGAAGGCATTTCAAGCAACAGAAGAGGGATTCACCTCTGTGGTTGCCAACCAATGGCCAATGAAACCTCAGATCGCGGCTGTTGGGTCGTGCTGCCTTGTGGGAGTTGTCTGCAACGGCACCCTGTACATCGCCAACCTTGGGGACTCCCGTGCCGTTTTGGGGAGAATTGTCAAGGCAACCGGAGACGCAGTTGCTGTTCAGCTCTCTGAAGAACACAATGCAAATCTTGCGCCCGTGAGACAAGAGCTGCAATCTCTGCACCCCGAGGATTCCCAAATCGTGGTTTTGAAGCACAATGTTTGGCGTGTCAAGGGAATCATACAGGTGAAAAAGAAATTGGTTTTGGGTTGGAATCTCATGTGTTTCATTCATAGGCCATATTTTTAACAAAAAATGCTAAAGCCCACGAGGTTTGACACCAAGTGTTTCACAAACATGTACAGACGCTCTCTCTGTCTCCTCACACACCAAGTGAAATGCTTGGTATCAAACTCTTGGTGTCAAATTTGGTGGTTTTTTAGCATGACCCTATTTTTAACATAAGAAATGGATGGGTCCTTTTTAACCAAACATGACATATATTGTGGTGCAGGTCTCGAGATCAATTGGCGACGTATACTTGAAGAAAGCAGAGTACAACAGGGAACCGCTGTATGCCAAGTTTCGCGTCCGGGAACCATTCAAAAAGCCCTTTCTCAGCGCGGATCCGTCTATTTCTACGCACCAATTGGAACCCCACGATCAATTCATCATATTTGCCTCCGACGGTCTTTGGGAGCACCTTAGTAATCAAGAAGCCGTCAATATTGTCCAAAATAACCCACGCAACGTAAGATAGTATCCCCTAAATGCCCCATTCTTTTCAAACTCTAGTACATGAAGAAAGCAGAGTGGAACAAGAAAAGAAGAGGGACAAACTAAAGTACTTGGCCTTAACGCCGTTTTTTGTTTGTTTTGTTTCCCTTAAAATGTAGGGGATAGCAAGAAGGTTAGTGAAAGCGGCATTACAAGAAGCGGCAAAGAAGAGGGAAATGCGGTACTCGGACTTGAAGAAGATAGAGAGGGGAGTGCGTCGCCATTTCCACGATGACATCACCGTGATTGTCGTTTTCCTAGACTCGAACCTCGCGGGCAAGTCGGGCAGCTCAGTCAAGGGTTTTAGAAACAACCTCTCTGTGAAGGGAGGGGGTGTCCACCTGCCCTCAAACACTCTTGCTCCTTGTGCCATGCCAGCCTAGTTTAATCTCTCTCTCATTTTCTTTCACTCAGGTGAAAATGTCATTAGTGCCCTTGTAATGTTTGTTGTACTATTTTTTTACCTTCCCATATTCTCCTCTGCTTTTTACTACTACTACTACTACAAGTTATATATAAGTATATGATGATATATGATCTCTCAGCTGTTTTATGTACACTGTAACCTATTGACACCAACTAATCGTTCTTCTTTTTTGTTCTTGGGAAGTTTAGAAGAAGAAGAAAAAAAGACTGATAATAATCTCATATGAACCGCGATTCAAAATTCAAAAATATCTTCGGAATCACACGCTACATTCGTCAAATAAAATTCCTTCCGTCCTATAAAAAGGGTATGCTTTCTAAATTTATTTGTCGTCTTGTACCCCTAAAGCTTTGCACTAACACTTGCATAAAATATTAGTGCACTTTTTTTTACCGTGCCGATATTTTGTAGAGTGTGAATCATCAAAGTATCAGTGTAAAACTTAGAAGTACAGACTGGTGTACACCTAGCTTCATTCTTCATTTAATTTTAAAAAAAATGTTGTGTTACTTAAATTTAGTAGGCAAAGGAAAGGTTAGGGAATGCTGGTTTGATAATTGATATTTACAGTCAACCTTTTTTAATATATCCACAATTGAAAAATCAGTATTGAAGTGACAAGGAAGAATTGTGATTTTGGAGTGTAAATGTTAAAAAAAGTAAAAATGCAGATATCAATTTTCAGGTAATTGATATTTACACCAACTTTTTTTCCCTATCAATTCCCACTAATGGATTTGGGTTCCTTTTTAAATTAAAGTTGGTTCCTCTCTTCTCTTTTTGGACAAAAATGAGGATGGGATTGAGTGTTAATGGAAACAGCCTTTTTGGTGGGTCTAGTTGGTTTCAAACAAGTGTGGAACCAATGTTCACCTTTTAAAACACTTCACATTTTCAAAGCATTCCATCATCATTTTCATCCAAAAAAAAAGTTTAGATGACAACCATAGACACTTTTTGCACAGACACCATTAAACCCTACTCAATAATATCAAAAGGCTAATTAAGTAAAGTTACATTGATAACCCTTCAAAAAAAAAGTGAACAGTTTGAGTAAGATTTCACAATGCAAATCCTAAAAGGGAGAAACATCATTTCACATTGAAAAATGAAAACTGCATCATACACAAGACACAAGAGGCAACCTCTCAAGGCATGTTTTTCAAGGTTCCTGAAACCCTTTGAAAGAAAAAACAAGTAAAAAGACAAGAGCTTTTTCACAAGCGCGATTACGCCTACCGGGTAGAGAGCCTCACTCATTTTGTTCGTTGAACGGAAAATCTGCTCGAACAAAAAAAACACGGGAAAAATAAAAAACAATGGCATATAGCCAAAATGAGGAAATATGGGAAAGGTAAGGGAGTAAGAGAATAAATACCTGATCCATCTTTTCCTCTCACTGTACACCAGACATGGCTGCAAAACCATTCCCATGAGCAAAGCCAAGAGGCTGATGGCCAAGACTTTGTAGGACGCTAGTCCTAGCACCACAAGGATACACAGTGTTGGAGGTATACACATCAAGATTGACCCTTTTGTCCCCAATGGTATCTTGTAAGGCCTAGAAGCTGCCGGGTACTTCATCCGTAGCTTCACAAAGGCCACAAACTCCATTATCATCCCACAACAGTACAGGAAGTTCTCTGCCGCGACTATTTCTTGGAAGCTTAGCCACGACAACAGAAGAACTCCTGAAGCAGAGAATAGAATCCCCACGACAGGTGTCCCGTGGCGGGACCTCTTGGCAAAAACTTCCGGAAGCATCCCTAGCTCTGCCATCCCTAGAAGCTGGAAAGAGTCGCTGCTCATCTCGGCCAAGAACATGCCCATGTTTGACACTGCTGATGCCCCTTGGACCCACAGCCTCAGCCAAACGCCTCCGACTATATTGGCTATGTCCGAAAAATACCCATCACTCCAAACGCCGCGATCAACTGGCAAGGCTCCAGTGCCTATGAGAAGGGGGAAAAAGTAGCCCGACACGACCAGGAGAAGAGCATAGAAGAGAGCCTTTGGGAGTGTCGTGGCGGGGTTCTCCACCTCGCCAGAAAGAGTGCTGATTGAGTCCCAATAGTTCAGATTCCAGAAAAGGGTATTCAAATATAAACCCCAATTCACACTGCCCATGCCCTCAAACTCAAGCCATCTAGAAGGGTCGATTCTGGGAAGTGACACTAGTCCCATAAACAAGAAAGGAAGGAGGGATAACACTCCTAACAGCACTGCCACCCACCCCACCACAGCTAAACCCCTGTAACTCAAGTATGTGAGAACTATAGTCAAAGCAAAGGCCGCGATTGCGCGAGGGAAACCATCCGCCAAAGCTGGTAGGGCCGACTTGAGATAATCCAAAAACAGGACAGGATAAAGAGCATTGTCGATGACACCACTTAGCCATTTCATCCAACCTTGTTGGAACCCCCAATAAGGACCCAAAGCTGAGGTTACCCAGACAACATATCCTCCGTTCTCGGGGAACATGGTTCCCATCTCAGCTGTTATTAAGGCTTCTGGGATGCTCCATATGAGTGGAAAGATCAAAAAGCCAAGGAGTGCCAGAAGTGGACCGGCTGCCTGAACGCTGTCTTCAATGCCAAAAGGACCTCCCGAGACCTCGTAGAATATGAGGAAAACAAGGGGAACTATAGAAACCTTCACAGAGTTCTCTAGCATTGGAAAAACTTCTTCGTTCAAACTCGAGTATGCCTCTCTATTGTCTTCATTCATATTGTGTTCGTGTTTATTTGCAGAGATGATAAACGTCTCAACGATCCAAGAGAATTATTAACTAACAACTGCAAATATAATTGGCGATGAACACCAGACTTTTTTTTCAATTCATGCATGAATGGTTTAGGCAAAGTTTGGAACCAAGAAAGTGGTCGGTAAATGATAAACAAGGCTAGGAATATGCTTAGTTTTACCTTTGAATATATGAGGGAATACTGTTCTTATGTTTCGTTTTACCTTTGAATATATGAGAGAAAATAATAGTCCGTATATATTTCTAAATATATACAGTAAATAAAATTAGAGCGAACAAAAATATCCATCATTGTCTTATTTTCCCCCAAATTCTATTTCTTTCGAAAACCTCTATATTTTTCACCATAAGTTTTTCCCCTAATATATTATGGGGTCCAAACAGATTCCTATAAATGGAATTGAGGAATTACGTGATTAGGCAGTGTTTGGTTAATCTAGTGGTGCAGTTGAAGCTACCAGATGTGATTCCTCAACAACTTTTTCTTTACCGTTATACAAGAACTCCAAACAGAATTTCAGAATTTTGACGATTAAAACACAACTAAAAACAGGAGAATTGATGGAATCTGGCCAAAGAAAGGGATCGAAACCACCGTAAAGGCGCGGTCTTTAAGAATAAAGATCTGAAAGAAGGAGAAAAAGAAATCGAAGAATGAATGTATGAAGCTGGGGTTGAAGAAGATTACCTGCAGATCGAAAGGGGCGATTGAGATACGAAATTGGGTGAATCACTGAAACCCAGAAGACGGGCGTATTGTGCGAGAAAATGAGAACGAACTACGCGTCATCACCGCACGCTGCCACGAGTCAGTTTATGGTTACCGGTGACCGCCGTGGTGGAGGGACTCCTCCGCTTGCCAGTCTGCTACTCTCTATACAGTTCCCACCTCGGCTCCCCCAGTGTACGGCAGCAAGTAGACGAAGTAGTGAAGTACCTACCATGGAATTGATTCAAGAATAAAGTTTTTTTTTTTTTTTTTGAAGGAAGAATAAAGGTTTTTATAAAGGTGTCCTTAATAATTCATTTGCATAATTCTAGATCATTTGGTGTGGAATAGGGGTGGGTTCGGTTTTGGCGGTTCGAATTTTACCTAAAACCAAAGACAAAACGGAAAGTAAGTTGGCGGTTCGGTTCGGTTCGATTTTGCATTGATATGTAAACTGTTGATTATTCGGTTCGGTTTTATGCGGTTTTTATCTTGGTTTTTTTTGGTTTTTTCGATTTATAAAAGTAAATATTTATAAGCATTAAAAATTGTATAAATACTAACCCGACGAAGCAATAACAATACATAAATTTGGGTTTGGTTTATTTGCTTGATTACTGTGGAACACGCCATCAAGCTGATCATGTTATTTCACTTAGTGCCAAATCAATTTTTTCACTTCATAGCCTATTACTATGTAGATCATACCCATCACATCCAATTTTTTAATTTTTTTAAAAAATATTTAAATAAAAATAACTTACAATTAAAAATTAAATAAATATTTCATTAAAACTCAAATTTAAAATTACATTGACATCAGGCAAACAAAGGTGAAAGAGCAATACAATACGAGATTGAAAATAAAAACTACTTGACTTAAAAAGTCAAAAATCGCTCGCGGCTCGCCAAGTTGTCCGCCGCACTTCCAAGACACTTCCAGCTAATTTTGTCTTTGACATTTAGTACAGCTGTGCGCTCTAGAAGCGGCAAATGATCAATATCGCCATTAGAATCTTGTATTCTTTGTGCTCATTACGTTCGCGCTAGGCGAAGTACTTTCTTGTCGGTGGCTTGACTTTTCTATTGAATCTTGTCCGACTACACTTCCTTGAATGCGGCCATGGTGGAGACGAGGTTGTCGATAGTTGACCCTTGGAGTCTGAGCGCGCCATTAAAGATGATGCCCACTTCGCCTTCTCCTTATCCCTACCAACATGCCGTGTCGGCTCTAGAGGAGTCGGAATGTCGTCGTCGTCGTCACTTAGCAACGCTGAGGTCTAACGAGTGTACCCCCCGGGGTGACTAGCTATATTTTCTGAACTCTGATATCTAGGTCTGTTTCGTCTGGGAGACCTCATTTGGCATCAGCACTCACTCCAAGTGTGCATACACTATCTTCCACACTTTCATGTGTGGGAAAGACGTAATATCTTGGGCTTGATACGTGGACAATGTTGCTTTTAAAATATCTTCGTCACTCACCTCGCTTTGCAGAATGATCGAGGGCGGTGGAGTTATATATACCGGAGACTTGTTGACTTTTGTATTCAAGTCACGGTATTTGGGGTAGATGGAGTCGACGAGGTGGTAGGGCTCTACGTTCATAATGGTATGGAAGTGAGTAAAGACCCTAACTCAAAAGTCGTGTGTATTTTGGGTTATCCCTAATTGCCAAAAAAATTGCAAGTAAAAAATATTCTTTAATTGGGTCTTCTGAAACGTTCACCCACGCTCGAGCCAACGCTTCCCCTTCTCCACATTCGCTTTGCCCCTGACTGGTCGACCCTTCACGGTGCACGACATTCCCTATAAATTTTTGGAAAGGTTGCGTTTCACGAGTGCTCTCGCATTCATTCTCTGGGATAGGTGTTGAGCTAGCCGTTCTCGTAACTTATTGATAATTTCCTAAAAATTAGGGTTGCCACTTGAGGAGTTGCAAATTGGAAGGATCAATAATATGATTTTAAAAATAACTTATTGCTATTATTATTTTTATATTATATTTTTTATTATATTTATCATTATTATTTGTATTATTATTACATACTATTATTATATTTATTATTAGTAGTGGTATTATTATTATTTATTGCGGAGTATTATTATTATTATTAATATTATACTACGGGCACTATTATTATTCTTATCATTAGCATTCCTATTTACAATAAAAAAAAAAATGAATAGTGTAGAATAAGACGAGATACATACATAATCCGATCCTATCCTTCATAGAATTCTAATCACATGCAAATTAGAGAAAGGGTTTATCGTATTTCTTCATGGTATAATATTATAATCCGTCCTGCAATGATATTAATGATTTATAAACAATGAATGACGCCATAATTAGAAGTAATATACTTTGAGACTATGATATGATGGATATGGCCTCTCGTCAAGAGACCATAATAAGGTTCACGAGCTTGAAGGATGTGAAGCTGCCGCCGGAGACGGCGGGAATCCAACGGTGGCAGAGAAGCAGCAGCTGGGAGGAGATTCCGTTGAAAGACCCGTTACTTCAGCGCGCCGCGTGGGCGTACCTTCAGGCGGCCGTGGTGCCGCCGGAGAACCGCCGGGTGCGCTTCTTCCGCAGGGTGAAGGAGAAGTTCTCCGGCGTGTTCGGCTGCCTCCACGGCGTCGCATCCGCCGTCTTTAATGCCTTGGCTTTATTGCCAAGCAATCCGCCGGCAACGGAAGATGACGTTCTGTTGCCATCATCCTCGCCACCCAATACGTAATACTCTGTAATTCTTTTCACATTCAAACCTTATGTATACTCTGTAATTCTTTTCACATTAGTTTACTTCTAGATTGTCGATTAGTAATTAGTAATGCCAGTACTATAATACTCACTCAATTACATGTTTTTAACTATGTCATTAAAACACTCTATCTTAACTTGGAGAAAAGATGTTTATTTTTGTTATATTCGCTGTTTTTAATTTAACCAATGTGATTCTAATTATGTAGTATGAATTGGTACGTCGGTGAAATAAGATTGTTGTTAATGTTAGTTCGACCGGGAGTAATACCCCATCCGTTCCAAAAATATTTACACCTTTCAAAAAAATTGCGTCCCACAATCTCCTACCCATTTCTATTAAAAAACCACTTTTACCGCTTACTTTTTCAAACCCTACCTATCACATCATACCTTTTTCCTTATAATCTATACATCACATCCTACTTTTACACATCAAATCAAGGTTATTTTTAGAAAGTCAACACAAAATTATCTCTCCCTTAATTTCCACTTTAGTCAAAATGTGTACAACTTTTCGGGACAGAGGAAGTATTATTCCAAGTGGTCCTGAAAAATTGTACTCCTTAATTGATAAAATTTTGACGGACTTTTTTTATACAATGTAATTTTTTATGGTAATGAGTGTGCATCTAATATCACCAAAAAAAATATTAGACACGTTGAACAAATGCATAATCGAAAGTACTCCTTAGTTTAATATAACACCTGTGACTCTGTGAGACTCAAAGGTGTGCACACACTTTCATCGGTGTCACCCTTAAATTTGCCACAAATCCAATTCCATGATAACCCCGGTGTCATCCAACAACTATTGAGAGAATAGATTTCAATTAAGTAATTTGTGGTAATTAGCGTTTATTGAAGACGGATTTGAAAAAATACCTCATTAAAAGGGACAATTTTAGAAATCTTAGAAAAATACCTCATTACAAGTACACAAAAAATAATTCAAACTTTGACCGAAATGAAAAAAAAAACCTTAGTCAATGTCATCAAAGTGATATGATATTCATTAATTAAAATTTAAAGCATGCCAAGTTACACAGGGTATGACAGTGATATGTATCTGTATTAATATTTGGTGTGACCCCTCGCACCACCCATATTTAGAAGTCCATTAAATCTCATCAAACACTTTGGTTTCTACTAAATGAGCAAATCATAATACTGTATAAAATTGCAAAACTTTTTTTTATTTTTTTTTTACAAACCAACCGCATGTATTGAAAAAAAGAACTTCGACACTTTAGCCTCATTCAATTTACTACAGAGAGTAGTAAAAATCAGGGCAAAATACATACGGAGTATTATGTAGTTTAAAAATGTACAGGGTTTCACCATGTATATTATTGTGCCTATTACCGTCCTTCCTTTGTGTGTCCGCTAAAATAAGGGCTCCTCTCCCCAACTAGGACAAATCTTGAGCCAAACTCACAAAAAAAAAAAAAGGATAGTAATCACTTTGAGAATGGCCTCATTACAAACCCACCATCCAGCAATGTTTCTTTTGACACTTTCAGCGACCAATCATTCAGCATGCCCATGCTCATCATCATCATCATCATCATCCATTCTTCTTCCTCTTATTCTTGTTCTTCATTCGCTACCCTGCCATCCATTTTATCAGTAACCTGATCATCGTTTATCACGTGTCCCGCTCCCCTCCTCACCAGTAATGCTGTCCTCATGCAAATTACTAATCGCTAACTATTTCTTCATCGTACTCATCATCATCATAATAATCACCATCAACTTCTTCTTCACAATTGTCATCATCATTATCATCCAAGTCTTCATTGTCCCCCATATCATGGGTGTTGGAAAGGTCAACAGGGTCACAAAAGCAATCCTCTTCTTCTTCATCTGCCTCAGCATCCACTTCATCACTAGCCATATCATCATCATCATCATTTGCATCCTCTCCAGCAGCACTTGCACTATCATCTTCATCCACTAGATCAGTAAAGATATCTTCTTCATCACACTCTTCATCCACCTCATAACCATATTCTTCGTCGTCGTCATAAAAGTATTCACCATCACTGTCATCTTCAAGACTCTCAAAGCCAAATAGATGGATTGGACGGGACGTGGAAACCTTTTCAAAATAAAACTATGTTAGAGGTCCCACCGATCTGTCTCAAGCATACTCAATTTATCAAATACAAGACATGGAACAGTTTTGGGAATGGAAGCAGCATTCAATAATAGTATATGGCTTAAGGTTAGAATCTACAACACTCAAAACATGACAAAGAACAGATTTCCGTAAATGCAAACGTCAGAGTTGGTCTGCCTCACATAAACTCTTTACACACAAACACACACATCTCAAAAATCCCATTGTAGCTGAAAGTCGAACTCCTCACCTTCTGGCCAATTTAATCCGAAGATTGAATACCAGTTATGGCATGAGTGGAATAGAGAAAGTTAATTTACTCAAAGCATCACAATTTATGAGTATTATACTATTTCTATTCTGGTCTCCAGAGTGCATAAAAAAAACATGCATTCGATTTCAGCTTTTGAGTGCCAGGAAACAGATCAAATCTTATAACCAGAGTAAATTCCATAAATGGTCTCTTGTAATGGGGTGTTTTTCGATAAACAATCCCCAATTCTATGAAATTACATTCGTGGTCCGCTATATATGAGAATCATTCCATAATCAGTTCTTTGACCCAAATATTGTTTTCCAAATATAGTTCTCAAAGGATGGATTATGGAATAGTTCTCAAATATCAAGGACCACAAATGTAATTTCTTAGAATTGGAGACTATATATGAAAAAACTATATTATAAGGGACCATTTATAGAATTTACTCTTGCTAATATTAATACAGGTTAACATTAGGCCAAAATCATTTAACAGTTCTCACATGGATGAAAAGCAGTAAACACTACTCTACACTTTTACCATTAGTGTTTGCAGAAATAGTTCAGTTTAGTACATACCTTTGAGACGTTTATAGGCAACTCTCTCTTCTCAGTCGCTTTCGGGGTCCATATTTTTATGTCAGTCTCAATACCACTGCTGGCAAGAACTGACGTGTGAGGATGAGATACAATGCAATTTACAACATGTCTATCTCCTTCCAAAAGATTGACAAGTTCCCCGTCCTTTTTCTTCCATATGAAAATCCGACCACAATCCGACCCACTGACAACATATTCACATTTAGGACCAAAGAAGCTAACACCCTTCACTGTTTCAGAGTTCTGGTGTCCCGTGTAGGCTTGGGGCCTCTCACTAGCATCATCTTGACTGGAAAGCGGGGAACTTTGGGGTGGAGTGGGTCCAAGACCCATATTTTTTGAGAAAAGATAGATTAACTCGTCATTATATGAAACAAGAAGCTCGCTTTGATCCGAAAAAGCCAAGCCAGTTATGCTCACATTTCCACCACCAACTAAGTGAGAAGGACAAAAGAAGTCAACGGGTTGACCAAATTTACGTGAGTTGTTAAACTTACAATTGCGGAGATCAAAAAGCCTGGCATATACATCGGATCCAGCAACTGCAAATAGGTTAGAGTTTCTTGGATCTATTGCAATTGCATTCAGCTGAATAAAAGACATGTAACTCCTGTGTCCGAGAGGTTGGCAAGTAAGAAGTCTTGTGGCGGCTCCTGTTCTCAGATCAATCTGTGAGGGGGATGAAACACTTGAGACCACATATCAAAGAGGAAAATATAAAGAAATGGTTAAATATCTTGCAAGCCTAAGGCCTAACTTAATGGCTTATTTCTTATGTACTTCAACAAAACCCAAAAGTAAAAATGAAATACACCAAAGAAGTGAATGAAGAAAGGAGTTGTAGCTTACACGTTGAACGAGTCCATCTTCACCACAGCTGTAGAAAATGTGAGGGCTTCCCGGCTCAATGGCCAACTTGTGAACCTCACCTAGATGCTTTGCCAGTAATTTTGTCTCGGCTTTCCCATGTGGTAGAATATGAGTGCATCTTATCTGAAATGAGTATCATAACTAAGGAAGCAGCAGAAAAAAGCAATAATCATGCACCAATCACCATCCATAAAAATGATACATTCATCCTTAGTAGATACCTGTCCATCAGCAGCAGAGGTAACAATACATTGATCATCAGTGTACGGCATGAACTTGGCCTGAAAGATATTATTATTGTGTCCCGAATGAAGTTCGAGTTTAACTTTGCCACTTTGCCAGTCCCAAAGTATAAGCCTCGTATCATCAGATCCTGATACAAGGATGTCACCATCATGATTGAAGCTTACTGTATTCACACAGCCACTATGTTTTTCTAGTTTGCGGAATATCTCAAGACGCCTCACAAGGTCCTGCACACCAATGCCAAAATAAGTACTCCGTCCATCCCCCCCCCCCCCACCCCCACCCCCCAACGAGTAATGTTTTCTCCCATAAAAAGAGGTGTATTTCTCAATTTGCTTAGAAATATAATTATATTTAGTGTTTGATAGTAGTAACTTACTAAATGTAAAAAAGTTATACACTCAACAAAGTGGACATTTTTTATAAGAGTTAAACAAATAACGTAACAAATATTCCACCCGGTTATGAGACAACACTGTTAACCCATTTCTGGCTAAATATATAAATACAAACCAACATATATAGGAGTATAGTACTTTGGACTACTCCTCAGAGCCAGAGCAGGAGCCAAGTTAGCAATTTGATGCAGCTGTGAAATACGTTCAGCAGCAGAACATCTCGAAGAAAGAGATCTAGTAGAACGGCAAGGAGCATCCCTAACTACTCTTTATTGTTTCCAGGTGATGTTTTCGTGATGAGGTTGGAGCCTCGTGTTGAATCCAAAATCTGTTCAGCGCATTAGGGATGCTCCTTGCCATTCTATTGTTCTACTACACCTCCTTCCTCGGGAGAGAGAGAGGTTCTGCTGATGTAAGCATTATGCGATTGCATCAAATTGCTAACTTGGCTCCTGCTCTAACTCCAACGGGGGCTCCTGCTCTGACTCCATGCCACAAACTATGTTGCACGGAAACTCCATATAGGCTGCCGTACCTGTTTCGGACACCTTGGACACGCCGACACGCCACGGACACGCCTGGAGACGTCTTGGAAACTCCACGTGGCGTTTCTGTAATTTTAATTTTTAAAAAAGAGAAAAAAACGCCAAGGAAACGGCTGGGACACGCGTGTCTCTTTTGGGAAACGGCAGGGACACTTCTTTTAAAAAAATGGGGTTCTTTTTATAAATTTTAAAAGTTTTGGAACTGACTCAAATTATAAAAAGTATTATCTGGCCCTAAATCTTCATCGCTCCTCTATGTTACGCGGCTATCATATTCATCGACAATAGACAGCGGCCCTCGAAGAAGCTTTACGCAGCTGGTTGGCCAACTACTCGCCGACAAAGGGCGCGACATCAGGTGAAGTGTTCTCAACAAATAAGCTTCTCGCCGACAAAGGGAGAAGCTTACGCCGCTGGTCAGTGACTTCTGGATTTTATGTTATGTATTTTGAACTTATTTATGCTTTAATATGTTTTGTAATGACTAAATTATGCTATCTCTTTCAAACTTATACTTTAATATGTTTTGTAATGACTAAAATATGTTATGTATTGTGAATTTGTTTACATAATTTTATTTATATATATAATTTTTATATATAAATTTGGCGTTTCCCCGGCGTTTCGTCTCTTCATTTTTCAAAATAGCCGTTTCGGCGTGTCCGTTTCGTTTCGTCTCCGTCCCCGTTTCCGTTTCAGTGCTACATAGGCCACAAAAGCAACCAAGGAATTGATTCAATGCAGAAGTTACTCACAGAAGTTAGTAGTCATTGATGAACTACTCGAGTCCGGAGTCCCTATTTGCCTCATTTTTTACCTCCTTATTCAAAATCCAATACTCTAATCATTATCCAATATTCATATTATGTACAACTATAATCCACTCATTGAAGCACACAAATAGGATTCAGCAATTACTGAATTGAAAAAGGCTCATTCCCAGCAATTTCATAATAACAGTAATGAATATCGAATTAGGCTATAACTAACCATTAAATTACAGGGAGGGGGAGGGGTGAATCCGTAACGAGCAATAAAGAACATAGGATGGCATATGAAAGATAACACGTTAGTTGAAGCCGATGTTAATAAGAAAATCAAAGGAAAGAAAAAAACCTCTGGGGCGGCGAGACGGAGAGAAAAGTTTCTGGGGGAGAGATGTCCGACCTCTCGTTTCCAGAGATCGACAACCGCCGTGTCGACGCCGGTGGCTGCCCTATTTCTCATGGTTGTGTGATTAGAAGGGTTTTCTTCCGTTTTAATCACAGAGATACAGTCTCTCTGTCGACCTTAGTATTTGTAATTTTTTGTTTTTTTCAAGTCAAAATTAATAAATTTTGACATCAAATTAAATAAAAATAATACGGATTATATTAGTATAAGATATTTATTGCATAATAATACAATACAAGTAGACCTGATAAAGAATAATCCAATCTATTTTTGAATCGAGACCCCACCCAAAAATACTGTGTTTTCATTATAATACAGTATTATTATGATGATGATGATGATGATTATTATTATTATTATTATTATTATTATTATTATTATTATTATTATTATTATTATTAGCACTAAGGCCCATAAAAAAAATTTGTATGTCCCCATTTAACTTTTATAATCTTCAGTTGAGTAAAAAAAGTTAAAATATTTGAAAGCTTTAATTGAAATTAAGATTGTTTATTCACTTGGTTAAAAATTATGTGTCGTACATCATAATAATAATAATAATAATAATAATATGAATTTAATATTACTTTTATCGTTCCATATTACTAATGACGACAGCTAACGATGACTACAACATCTGATGACAAAAATAGAGTAGTAAAACTACTAATAACTTTTTAAAATAATACTCTGTAATAAGTGTTACTTTTCTTCAAAAAAATAGAGTAATAAAAATACTAATTAATTTTTAATAATAATAAATAAAAATAATAATAGCAATAGAAGAAGAAGAAAACAATAAGAAATAAAGAATAATTAGTACAAAGTAATATTAATAAGTTCTACTATTTTATAAAAGAGTACAATTGTAAAATTACTAAAAGTTTTCTTCTAATAAGTAATAGTATCAATAATAAATAGTGTTTTTTAAAAATGATAAGTGTTATTTTTCTAAATAACAATTACTGTTATTTTTCTAAAAAATATTGAAGCTAATAATTAATTTTTTGTAATAGAAATAATATTAAATAATAAATAAAAATAATAATTAAACAAAGTAGAATGAACTGAAGAAACTTGAAGTGTTGAAAAAATTTAAAAGAATTGGGGTAAAAATTAAGAGTTCGAAAAAAACTAAAAGAGTTGGAAAATAAAAGAAGCTAAAAGCGAGAACGTAAAAGAACAAAGTTGATATCTAACGATTTTTAATTTGAAATCTTTTTCAATATTTTGTGCACAATTAAACAAAAAAAAATTCTTCATAAAAAACTATCCATGTGAAAGTTTAGAAAAACAAAGCAATTTTTTTCGATAAGTCAATTTTACAATTTTAGTAATAAAAAACAAATCTCCAATTTCGATCAATGGAAAGTTTCCCCCCTTCCATATACCATTTGTCCCATTACTTTTTAAAATATACTTTGGTGTATCTTTAAATGAATGAAAAATTGGCAATCTATTTGTCTCTCCGTCAAACTCAATTCTCCATTATCTTCTACTTCTTTATCACCATCTTTTGATCTTTTTCTTTCTTCTTTCTTCTTTTTCTTCTCGTCTGATACAACACTCTATCCTCTTTTTTTTCTTCTATTTTTTCTACTATAATTTTTCTAATGTTATTATCTTCATAACAATGTAGTATCTGTTCATATTATTCTCAACCTGATAAAGACGCACAACCTGATAATGACGCACAACAATTCTATTTCTTCTGTCTCTAGTGGAACTCGAACCTGGATAAATTTTCCCATTAATTTTGTAGAGTGAGCTTCTAACCACTCAAGGCAGAGGAGAAGTTCTACTATAAATATTTATTATTATTTTTATTAAATTTAGTTAGTGGTTTTGCAACTAATCCGTATAATTTTCTTAGCAAAATAGCACTAAGGCCCCATAAAAAAAATTATTTGTCCCCATTTAACTTTCCAATCTTCAGTTAAAGAATAAAAGATCAAAATATTTGAAAGCTTTAAATGAGATTGAAATTTTTTTATTCACTTGGTTATATATTATATATTGTAATTCATATCAATAATATGAAAACTAACACAATTTTTATCGTTTCATATTACGAATGGCGGATGATAATGACTACTACATTACTGAGGCCAAAGACAACACTGAATGGCAAAAATATACTCCCTACGTCCTATAATGATCTTCCCGGTTCGCAAAACGAAGAAAAATCCCAAGTTTTTTCAATCTATTTTATTTAAATATTGGTATAGAAATAAAAAATAAAACATACATATTTAAAAACTACACCAAAAGTTCAACAAAACAAGTGGTGACAAGAATATTTTATTTTATCATATAGGCCATTAAAAAACACAAATAAATATAAATTCCCGTGAAGTTGGAATAGTGCTCTGGGAAGATCATTATAGGACGGAGGGAGTAGTAAAACTACTAATGATTTTTTAAATTAGTTATAAGTGTAATAAAACTACTCATTGATTTATAGTAATAATAATAATAATAATAAATAAAACTAATAAGAACAATAGTAGAATTAGAAAATAACAAGAAATATATAATAATTAGTACAAAGTAATATTAAAAAGTTCTATTATTTTAAACTAATAATTAATTTTTAATAATAATATTAATAGTATTATATAAATATTAATAATAATACTCCGTAATAATTAATAATAATAACAATAATAGAATAAGAATATAATAAGAATAAATATGATGTAATAATAATAAGTACTGTAATTTTTCTAAAAGAATAGAGTTGTAAAACTACTGATTAATTTTTTTAATAAAAATGATAATAATAATTAATAAAAAATACGGAGTAACAAATAATAATAATCATAATGAAAGAATGAAGAAAAATATTCAAAACAAAAAATAGAAGAAAAAAGGGGAGGGGGGCAAGAAGCAATGATTTTGTTTCATTCATAAAATAATTGATTCCTTTTGATAAATTACAAAAAAGTGATAGGTAAACAGGTAACAAGCTATGTGCTAGCGTTGCAACCTCTTTTTGAATAGCAAACTCAATCCTATTGAAAATAAAATTATGGGCATTAGAAGTCGAGAAATTATTATGCACGACCCGCTAGATTTTGTTAAGGAATCCACAGCCTCTGGTGCTAGAGAACTGAATCCATGAAAACCAAATTAGTAAATGCATGTTGATTTCCTAAGTAAGTTAGACAAATATGAAAGGAATTGAGAAAAAATAAAGAGTTAGAAAATAATAAATATCCCCTCCGTCTCTAATTATTTGCCACATTTCTAAAATTGAAGCGAAATATCAAGTTTTATTAATTCATTTTATTCAAATATTGGTATAGAAGTAAAAAATAAAATTTACATATTTAAAAACTAGATGAAAAGTTATTCGACAAAAAAAATTTATTTTATCAAATAACCAATGAAAACGTACAAATAAACAAAAATTTTCGCAACTGGATGTGGTTGAATGAAGGAAAATATTTTCCAAAAAAAATTCTGTTTCATTTTCATTCAATAAGAACAAACGAGCATGAGAAAAGGAATTCGAATGTGTAAGATACGAAGAATCAATCCCATCACGTATAGACTAGCTTGAAAGAAATAGATATCATGATTTTGGCAACAAATTTGATCAAGGCAGATAATGGTTTAACACCAAAACATTTAAAACTAGGCATATTTTAACGTACATAGACAGTTACCTAAAGTAAAAAAACACCAAAGAGGTTCATCTTCTATCAATCATCGTCTTCGGTGAAGGTAATCTTCTTACCGCAAAACTGTCTCTTTCGAACGGTTCCTTCCATATATAGCCTTTCTTGTGGTAAGAAGTCTTCGTACCTGTGAATTTCAAAAACACTTGTGATCAATCCAAGCAATGTGGGCTTGATAATAAAACTCAAAAAGCAAATAGTTAAATCCCATACCAACGTTTCTCGGCAAGTTTGTACCTAAATAACAAAGTTAATAGCATTAAATTAATGAAATGACAAAAAACAAACTCAGTTAGAAAAACAAATCTCCATAGCATGGACAAACAATTTACTTGGGTCGGACAGGGTATGGAGCTATCTCAACCTTGTCAAGATAAATGAAACCACTGGCCATTCCTCTTATTTTCTTCCTCAGTCCCAGCGCCTGCAATATAAAAGATATATTCAGCAATCGTACTTTCATCATAAGTATACACGACTTTCCAAATGACTACGTACATACGTTTTGTTAGATATAATCGGGTTTGTTCACATATTACATATAACAAAATGACTATTGAGTCAATGTTCGGGTCAGTTAGTATAAGAGTCAGTTAGTGTGGTGTCGTTTAGTGTGTTTTACATATTCAATTAATTTAAAAAAAACAGTGGGTAGTTTCTAAAAGGCAGTTATGGGTAGTTTCAATTGTTAATAGGCGTGTTGGTTTGTAATAGTTGTGTTGGTTAGTAAAAGTCATGTTGGTTTGTTCTCTATTAATATTTAGAGAACACAAATAATCCTGTACAGTTTTACAGCAATAAAATATTCTGTTTTGCCTTGATCTGGTCCTTTCTAACACGTTTCACCATTATTACAAAACTACTCTCACCTTCTTTGCTTCAATAGCAGAAGCAAACGTAACAAAGCCACAGCCCACATGCTTACCCAGGTCATCTACAATAAGTCGAACACTAACTTCTCCAACATCGTAGAAGAAATTGCTGCTGTTTAAATGGAGGATAAAATATCAGTCATGAAAAACTTGCTCCAAGAACGAGAGAGGAAAGTAAAGGCCTTACATATGTCGTATTATTTTACAGACGGCAGGAAGTTTTGAAATAAAGAGTGTCTTTTTTCTCAAAGAAACTTCCTGAAATTAACACCCAAATGTGTTAGCACGACTCTAGGGAGAAAAGGATGTAAATTGCATATCAATAAATAGTAGATTCATCTTTCGACTTTGTGGCAACACTTCTGTTAGGAAACACTAAGCGATTCCACTAAGCACAAGCTTATTTTGAAGAAATAATAAGAACAGGTACCTCATAAAAATAATCAAGTCCTTCCACTGCATCGTCTTCTTCTATCAGAAGGTTTTCTCCTTGAAGATAGTCTTCGAACCTGGAATACCAAAAACCCTTTTAATATCTCCATCCATACCAATGTGCTCTTGATAACAAGCTTTAGAATCAAATAGTTATATCTCTTACCAAACCTTGTGATCTATGCAATACCTAATTAACAAAAATAATAGCATTAGTCTTCTGTAATGGCATAAAAACTCTAGCAATAAGATACCAGTGGTACATAAACAAATCTCCATAGCATGGAAAATAAGTTTACTTGGGTGGTGGAAGGTGTGGAGCTATCTTAGCCACGCAAAGCGTAACCTGATTACCGCACAAATATTCACCATTCTTCTTTTCTTGCGCCTGCAATACAACAGATTTCACTTTAAAAAACCTACTGGTGTAATTTTCAACATAAGCATGCACTACTTTTCGAATGACTACTAAAAACACATTTCATCAATACTACTAAATTGCTCTTGCCTTCTTGGCTTCATCAGCAGAAGCAAACTCAACAAAACCACGGCCCTTAAGCTCACCCATTTTGGTTACAATAAGTCGAACATGAACTACTTCTCCAACATCTTTGAACAAATTGATACTGTAAAAATGGAGGATGAGAAATTAGTCATGAAAAACTGGCTACAAGAACGAAAGAGAAAAATAAAGGTGCTACTTACATGTCGGATATTTTAGTTTCGCAAGACATATTGTCAATAAAGAGTGTCTTTTGTCTTATGGAAGCTGCCTGAATCTAACAGCCAAGTGTGTTAGCACGACTGTAAGGAGAAAAAGACTTAAACTGCATAACAAGACAAGGTGGCCTCACCCAAAGAATCATCCCCATCATAAGTCATCCTTGTGCCAACACTTCGGCTATTAACACAATGGGTTTCTTCTGAGCCTGACATAATTTGAAGGTACCTCAAAAAAATTGGGAGTTTCATCATGTCCTTCTAGTGTCTCGTCTGCTTCTGTCGGAAGGCTTTCTTGTTCAACTTCTTTTATTGGAAAGCTTTCTCGTAGAAGGTAGTCTTCGTACCTGGAATATCAAAAAACCCTTGTGGTCTCTCCACGTACACCAAAAACATCACCCAATGTGCTCTTGATAAGAAACGCAAGAGGCAAGTAAAATAATTTACCAAAGCTTCTCTGCAAGGCTGTACCTAATTAACAAAAATAATATCAAAACCCTTGCAATAAGTAACAACCAATGTTACATAAGCATGTCCCCATAACATGAAAAATCAATTTACTTTGGTCGTGGAGGGCATGAGGCTGACTTAGCCCCATCAAGAAAAATCTTATGATCGTCCAAATATTCACCATTCTTCTTTTCCAGTGCCTACAATATCCAACACTTTGTCAGCTATCAGACTTTCAAACAACTAGTATATTTTTCATCACAAGTATACACGACTTAAACTACTTCAATACTATTTTTCATCATTACTACAAAACTACTCTCACCTTCTTTGCATCGTAAGCATTTGCAAACTCAACAAATCCATATCCCACATGCTTACCCTCGCCGTCTTCAATAAGTCGAACACTAAAAATTTCACCAACCACTCTGAAGAACTTGATGCTGTAAAATGGAGGATAAAATATCAGTCATGAAAAACTTGCTCCGAGAACAATTTCAAGGGTGTTACGTACATATGTAACATTCTAGTTTGGGGAGAGAGATTGGCAACAAAGATCGTCCCTTCTTTTCCTGCAATTGCCTGAATTTAACAGCCAAGTGTGTCAGTACGACTCTAAGAACAAAAGGACTTAAATTGCAAAACAACAAAACGTAGGTTGATCTGAAGATTCAACCCCAGAATAAGTCATCTTTCAACTTTGTGACAACTGTTTTGTTATTAAAAGCTCAGTGTTTCTTCTGAGCCAGACATAATTTGAAGATAATCAGAACTTGTACCTCAAAAAAACGGGGAGGTATCTCCTCCTTGTCTATCGGAAAGCTTTCTCGTCAAAAGCAGTCTTTGTACCTGGAATTTCAAAAACCCCTGTAAGCTCTCCATGCAATCAAAAACTTTCACTTAATGTGCTCTTGATAACAAACTCAAGATGCAAGTAATTAAATCCCTTACCAAACCTTGCTTTCTATGCAAAACCTAATTAAAAAAAAGCTGTGTTAATATTATCAAAACTCTACCAATAAGTTATAAGAACAAATCACCATAACATGAAAAATCTATTTACCTGGGTATTTGAGGGTATGGAGTTGTCTTTGCCAAGCCAAGAGTAATTTTCTCCCCACGCAAATATTCTCCATTCTTCTTTTCCTGTGCCTGCGGTATAAAATATTTAATCAGCAATGGCACTTCCAAATAACTACTTGTACAACTTTCATCGTGAGTTGCACTACTTTCCAAATGGCTACTAAAATACATTTCATAACTACTGCAAAGCTACCCTCACCGTCTTTGCTTCATTAGCAGAGGCAAACTCAACAGAGCCAAAGCCAAGATTAGAGCCCTTACGGTTTACAAATATTCGAACACGAACAACTTCTCCATCATCTTTGAAGAAATTGATGCTGTGAAAATGGAGGATGAAATGTTAGTCATGAAAAACTTGCTCCAAGAATGAAGGAGGAATTAAAGGTGCTACTTACAGCTCTGGTATTTTGGCTTGGGCAGAAATATTGTCAACAATGAGCGTCTTTTTTCTTTCGGAAACTCCCTGAATTTAATAGGCAAGTGTGTTAGCCCGACTCTAAGGATAAAAGGACGTAAAATCCATAACAACAAAAAAGTATCCTCGTCTGCATGTTCATCCCCGTAATAAGTCATGTTTGTGGCAACAGTTCTGCTACGCTAAACATAAGCACAATTTAGATAATAGGAACAGGTACCTCAACAAAATGGGGAGTTTCATCGAGTCCTTCCATTGTGTCCTGTTGCATGAGTAGCCATTGGAACACATTTTGGACAGGGTAACGACAAGATGCTTAATTGAACATCATCATATCTGACAAGCAATACATTATTTAAATTTACAAAAATTATACCTTAACTGGAACTAAATTAGCCTCAGACATTGTCTCCAACAACTCGACCCCTCCTTTGACCTCCTGGACGAGATTATCAGCAAAACCTAGTGTTTTCTCCTGTTACGAGTAGCCATTATACCAGAGTGTAAATAAAATTGTTCTCAGAGAACAAGAGGAATCGGGCCATCTAGGGTTACCTTATCCTCGGATCTTTCCTTAGATTTCTTCGGAGGCTGTTTGGACTCCCTCTCAGATTTTGCCCCTCGTACTCGCTTCCCTAAAACAAGAGAAGCAAAAAATCATGATTCTCAAATCAGATTAGAGTAGAGTAGGCATGTTTATTTATAAAACAATAGATAAGAGAGAGGCACCGAAGAAATTAGTTCTGGCGGCCAAATTATTGCGAGAACTTCCGCCCATGCCGATGGAGAAGATGAAAACAGAGATGGTTGATTTGCCGGGAGAGTTGCGGCTTTGGTTTAGGTTAAGGTTGGTCTCCTCTACTTTATTTTAAGTGAAATTTGAAATATGACTAAAATATAATGACTTTCCTAATGTAGGACTTGAACTTTTTTATTCCTTAAATAGAACTTATTAATGACCTAGTAGAAGGAATAATGTCTAGCAATGATGGACATTTAATTGAATAATGATTACTTGATAATGACCAAAGGTCTTACATTGAGAAATAAAAACATATGGTCCTATATGGGGAAAGTCATTATGTTTTACTCCTATTTAAGTAAATTTCTCTTATTTTAAACCATCCCACCCGAGCGGCCAAACAAATTTTTTGCCTATTATAAAAATTTTCTTTAGTTTTTTAATAGTGAAATTTGCACGGAATAGAATTAAACTATAAGTCATTTTCCAACGTAGGACCTAAATTTTTTATTCCCTAAATAAGATTTAATAATGTCTAGTGAGAAGAATAATGTCCAACTAATGCTGGACATTTAGTTGAATAATGACTAATAGATAATGACCAATGGTCCTACATTAAGAAATAAAAACATATGGTCCTATATTGAGAAAGTCATTATGTTTTAATCCTATTTGGGTAAATTACCCTTTTTAATATTATATTCTTTTGAATTCTAATTCTTAAGATCTGATTGGTTAAAAGAAATTGTTTTTTCTGACAACTCCAAATTTACTTTTCCATTCAAGTTGCATAAGTGGAGTAAATCATTTTTCTTGGAAAACTAATTTCTTTAAGAGGAGAATATGACCTTTGTATGTTTTGGATTAAAGTTCATTTTTATTCAATCTTCAAATACTTTAATTTCTCGACGAATAGTTATGATGCCCATGTGATTTGAAAAATAAGTCTGGACCAATACTATATGCTCTCTTTTTAAAACTTAACTGTAAATATATATGATCTCCAAAATTTCATGTATAACTCATGCGTTAGTGAAATTCAGGCATTTACAATTCACTGGAGTTTGATAGTGGGGGGATTAGTACTCAATTCTAAACCATAGGGGCAAAAGAACATGCTTTATTTTTCATTCATTTTTTTGTTATGTTCCTCCTTTTTCTTTTCTTTGTTTCATTTTCAAGAAGTTTTCCTAATTTTTATTTAAATTGTGCCTTATATTTAAAATTATTTATGTTTGAAATAAAGAAAAAAAATATAACATATATTCTATGTATCTCAAATTAAATAGTTTTTTTTTATTATTTTCTAAAATAAAACAATAAAGTGTTTTTTGGGATGTTCAAGAAAATGGGGAATAGAATAATAACATAAAATAAAATAAAAGCATAACACAAGGAAATGAAAAAAGATAAAGATAAAAAATACTCTAATAGAAAAGATAAATGCGTAGCCATAGAGAGGAAAGATGATTTTTTAAAATGTCCAAAAAAGTCTTTATTTTTTCGAGACGTCTCAAGAAAATTATTCTTTTTAATTTTAAAATTAATACGATGACATTGTTTACATTAATTTGAATTTGTTAGGCATCGATCCAAAAAAGTATTTATTTTTATCATTCTGAAAGAATTTTATCCAACAATTTAAATTTTTGGACATTCCAAATAGAACCTTATCAGTCCAATACATTTCTACTTTTCAATAAAAGAATTCTTGTATCTTTTTCTTTTTTTCATTTCCTTTTTCTATTTTTTTTGTTTTCTTTCTTTATCTATTTTTTCCTTTTATTTTTTGAACATACAAAAAATAGTTTGTTTACTTTAGAAAATTTGATAACAGATATGTTTAACTTTAGATAGAGAAAGTATATGTCATTTTTTTATTTCATTTTTTCATTTCAAATGCAAACTACTTGGAATTTTAAAACATTAAAAAAAAATTAAAAAAGAAGTTTAAAAATGATAATAGGCATTGATGCATATGTGGATTGGAAAATAGTACGAAGCGAGATTAAAGTAAATGATTATCAAATATATTATTAAGACCCATCAAAAACTAATTTTCTGTAATAAAATTTTTATCTTTAATTGGTCGATATATGGTGAGCTATATTTTAGTTCAATAAATTTCCATACAAAAGAATAGATTAATAATTTTTAAAAAGATATATTTTACTCAAAGGACTTTTAATACCTTTGTCGTTTTTATGAAAAAGAGACGTAGTTAATCATGACTAGTTTCTTTTTTATGAACAATTCATTTAATTTTTGTTGAAAACTTATAATTTTTATTTCGTTTACATAAATTTCAATGAGTTTAAAAGTTCATGATTTTTAATGTAAAATACATTGTTTTAACTCATCAAATTTTAAAGATTGTCATGAATACTTTTTTATAAATAATCAACAAGAATTTAAAGTATGCCATGTAATTTAGGCTCCGTTCCGTTCAACTTATTTTTTCTGATCTGATATGATTTTTTGTAGTTCTGATCTGATCTGACCTTATTAGATCTGATCTGATTAGATCTGACCTGATTTGATTGGATATGATCTGATCTGATTAACTGTAATTTGATTTAAAACTCAGATGATTTGACTTTATAATAACGTTTGAAAATTGTAATGATAATTCATATTGCAATATAATCAATATTTTTTATTTTATGATTATTTTTTAAGGAAATAAAATGAGTGGGATGACCCGGGGGTTCTCCGGTGCCACGTTCGTAAAATTGACGATTTCTACGCCCTACTTAATGTAACGATCAAAACGGTTGGGCGGGAAAACACTAATTGGATTTCTCCTCTTTCTAAATTAAGTATGGATGTATAAATAATGAATACTCCGTATTTTGTTAGGGTGATTGAGTCTCCATGAGTAAAAGAGGCTTACCAAAACTTATCAGCCCCGAAAAGGCCCACAAAGAAGAGTGAAAACGGCGGGTGACTCGAGCTTTTCTTCTTCTCTTCTAGTATCGCTCTGCAGCTCGAATCCCAACAGTTCTTCTAGCATGGAATCGGCCGACAAAACTAATTTATTGGGTAATTCTATCTCTTCTAGTCTGAATGATATCTTGTTCTTATTTTCATACATATTTGGTTTAGATTGAGCGGCCTTTTGCTGAAGACGATGGCTGCTCTTCTTCTCTTAGGTAAGCGAAAGCGAGATCCAAAATATGAATGGGAGAGCGAACGGGCTCTGAAGGAAGGGCCCGGGTGGAAGGTAACCCGAGATTGTTCTCTTCTTCTTTGATAACAATTTCTTTACACACTGTTCTAATGGCTACTCGTTACAGGGGACAACGTCAAGGTTTTCTTATCTTCTCCAGAAGATCAAAGCAGAGGTCGAGTTGTTGAAGGCAAATTCTGAGGCTAATTTGATTCCAGCGAAGGTATAATTTTTGATAATCTTTAACATTGTATTGTCTGTCTGTCAGATAAGTTGACATTCAATCATCCAAAATGTGTTCCATTGGCTATTCATGTAACAGGGGACAGTGCAAGGACTTGATGAAACTCCCCATTTTGTTGAGGTGCCTCCATTTTTTGTTGTTATCCAGTTTAAGTCCTTTCCCCCTTATAGTTGTGCTAACACTCTCAGGGAGTTGCCGCGAGAAAAAAGACGCTCATTCACAATTTCTCTCCCCAAACCCAAATATCAAACATGTAAGTAGCACCATTAATTCCCTCTTTTCATTCCTGGAGCGAGTCTTTCACGTCTGACATTGTATCATCCATTATTCACAGCATCAAATTCTTCAAAGATGTTGGAAAAGTCGTTCATGTTCGAACAGTTGTAAACTTCAGGGGCTCGAATCTTGGCTTTGGCTCTGTCGAGTTTGCCTCTGCCAACAAAGCAATGATGGTGAGCGTAGTTTTGTACTAATGATGGAATGTATTTTAGTAGTCGTTTGGAAAGTAGTGCAATTTCTTACGAGAATTATACAAGTAGTTATTTGAAATAAAGTAGCATGGCTGATTCAATCTTTTATGCTGCAGGCACTTGAAAAGAAGAATTGTGAATATTTGTGTGGTAAGAATATTACTCTTGGCTTGGCTAAGATAATTCCATACCCTCAAAGACCCAGGTAACTTGATTTTCCATGCTATAGAGATCTGTCTCTACAACTTATTGCTATAGCTTTGATGCCATTACGGAAGATTAACGCAGCAATTTTTGTTAATTAGGTTTTCCAAAGAACACAAGATTTGGTAAGGCATTTAACTACTTGCCTCTTGAGTTTGTTATCAAGAGCACACCAGGTGAAGTTGTTGATGCACGTGGAGAACTCACAAGTGTTTTATTTTATTTTATTTTTTTTGAAATTCCAGGTACGAAGACCACATTCGACAAGAAATCTTCCCGCTAGAAGAAGGGGAGATACCTCCACATTTTTTTGAGGTACCTGATATTATCTTCAAATTTATTTTCTCAAAAATATGTCAGGCTCAGAAGAAACCCTTTAGCTTGTAATAGCATAACTGTTGTCACAAAGTTGAAAGATGACTTATTGTGGGGATGAATCTTTAGACGAGTCTTTTTCTTCTTAGAGTCATACTGATACACTTGGTTGTTAAATTCAGGCCACTGCAGCCAGAGAAGAGACGATCTTTGTTGCCAATCTTTCTCCCCAAACTAAAATATTACATATGTACGTAGCACCTTTGAAATCGTTCCCTGAGCAAGTTTTTCATGGCTGACGTTTTATCCTCCATTTTTACAGCATCGAGTTCTTCGAAGATGTTGGAGAAGTTTGTAGTGTTCGACTTATTGTAAACCAAGAGGGTAAGCATGTGGGGTATGGCTTTGTTGAGTTTTCTGATGCTTTCAATGCAAAGAAGGTGAGAGTAGTTTGGGAGTAATGATGAATAATGTATTAAAGGAATTTGAATGGTGTACACTTATGATGAAAAATACACTCCTTTTTGGAAGTATGATGGCTGATTGAATCTTTCATACTGTAGGCACTGAGAGAGAAGAATGGTGAATATTTGCACAATCATAGGATTTGTCTTGATGGGGCCAAGACAGCTCCAAACTCCCCACGAACCAAGTAAATTTAGTTTTCCATGTTATGGAGATTTACCTATGTAACACTGGTTGTAACTTATTGCAAGAGTTTTGATGCCATTACAGAAGGCCAACGATATTTTTTTTTGTTAATTAGGTACAGCCTTGCAGAGAAACTTTGGTAAAGGATTTAACTACTTGGCTCTTGAGTTCGTTACGAAGAGCGCATTTGGCGTAGTTTTTGGTGTACATGGAGAGATCACAAGGGTTTTTCTGTATATTCCAGGTACGAAGACTACCTTTTACGAGAAAGCCTTCTGATAGAAGAAGATGAGACAATGGAAGGACTTGATGAGAGTCCCAATTTTGTTGAGGTACTTGTTCTTGTTCTCTTCAAATTATGTCACGCTGCATTTAACAACTATGGTCGCCTCAGAGATGACTTTTATGGGGACGAATCTTTGGATGAGGCTACTTTTGTTGTTATGCAGCTAGTGTTACGTCTTTTACTCCTTTCAGTCATGCCAACACACTTGGCTGTTAAATTCAGGCAGTCCCCTTGAGAAGAAAGACACTCTTTATTGACAATCTGTCTTGCCAAACTAAAATAGGCGACATGTAAGTAGCACCTTCATTTTCCTCTTTCGTTCTTGGAGCCAGTTTTTAATGACTAATTTTTTATCCTCCATTTTTACAGCATCGTTTTCTTCAAAGATGTTGCAGAAGTTGTTCATGTTCGACTTATTGTAAACAGCAATGGTGAGCTTGTGGGCTACGGTTTTGTCGAGTTTGCTTCAGCTGACGGAGCCGCAAAGGTGAGAGTACTTTTGTAGTAGTGATGAAGTGTGTTTTTGGTAGTCATTTGAGAAGTAGTGTATACTGATGTTGAAAATTGCACAAGTAATTTGAAAGTACCATTGCTGGGGAAATCTGTTATATTCCAGGCGCGCGAAAAGAAGGATGGTGAATATTTGTGCGGCAATCAGATTAGTCTTGGCATGGTTGGGACCCACAAGCGTAGAGTCTGGGACCCTCCACCAACCATGTAACCTGATTTTCCATGTCACGGAGATATGTTTGTGTAACACTGTTTGCATCTTATTGCTAGAGTTTTGATGCCATCACAGAAGACTAATGCTATTATTTTTTGTTCATTAGGTATTGCATAGATCACAAGGTTTGGTAAGAGACATAACTATCTGCTTCTTAATCTTGTTGTCAAGAACACATTCGATGAAGTTTTTGGTATAGAAGGAGAGATCACGGGGGGTTTTGATATTATAGGTACGAAGACTACCTTCGACGAGGAAACCTTTTGATAGAAGAAGATGAGGGAGTGGAAAGTCTTGATGAATTGGTTGAGGTACCTATTCCTAATATTTCTTCAAAATAAGTTGTGTGCTTAGAAGAACCACCTTGAGGTTTAATAACAGAACTGAATCTGGGGATTCATCTACTTTTTTTTATTGACATGCAATTCAAGTATATATTTGTCTCCTCAGAGTCGTGCTAACACATTTGGCTGTTAAATTCAGGAAGTTCAGGAAGTTTCTGTGAGAAAAAAGACACTCTTTATCAACAAACTCCCGGTCAATGCTAAAATGCACCATATGTAAGTAACACCTTTAATTTCCTCTTTCGTTGTTGGAAAAAGTGTTTCATGACTGATATCATATCCTCCATTTATACAGCCTCAGTTTCTTTCGAGACTTTGGAGAAGTTAGTGTTCGACTTGTTGTAGATTTCAAGGGTAAGCATGTTGGCTGTGGCTTTGTTAAGTTTGCTTCTGCTTTCGAAGCAAGGAAGGTGAGATTATATTTACCATGCAAGTGGTCATTTGGGAATTAGGGAATACTTATGATGAAAATTATACAAGTAACTTGTTTGAAAGTACGATCGCTGCTGAATAAATCTTTGATACGGCAGGCGCTGCAAGAAAAGAATCAAAGTGCAATGTGCCGTCATGTTATTTCTCTTGACGCGGTTGAGATAGCTCCATATCCTCTCAGACCCAAGTAAATTGTTTGTCCATGTTATGGAGATTTGTTTTGTTTCTCTAACTTCACTGCTTGGGTTTTTTTTATTATGTCGTTTCGTAAATTTAATGCTATTATTTTTGTTGACTAGGTACAAACTTGCAGAGAAGCTTTGGTATGGGATTCAACTATTTGCCTTTTGAGTTTTGTTATTAAGAGCACATTGGGTGAAGTTTTTGTTATAGGGGGAGAGATCGATCACAGGGGTTTTGGATTTTCCAGGTACGAAGACTACTAACGACAAGAAAGCCTTTGGATGGAAGAAGAAAATATGAAGAAATAGTTTTGCGGTAAGAAGATTGTCGTCGCTGACGACTATGATTGATCTGTCTTGATTGATTTGGTGGACAAAATCATGACATATGCTTTTTTTCCAGTACAGTCTCAACTTGATTGTATAGATTCACTCTTTCATACGGAGTATCTTTTACCAAAGCGAAAAGAAGCGATAAATAACACAAGACTGAGATATTAGCATGATGAATATGTGGGTACATGGACCAAAATTGTTGGCGTATACTAAATAAAGTTTAGTTTTTTTGTAGTTATGGATATATATATGTATAAATTATACAAAAGTCGTTAATAATAATAATAATAATAAATAATGATATGGAATCTACATTTATGGTAAGAATTAAGAAAGGAAAAAGATGTAAAACCTGCAATAAAATAAAATAAAGAGTTTCAGAAAAAAAGAATTAAGAAAAGTATGTTATTTGTCTAAAACCCGTGATGTTATACCTTTTTTGTATTAAAAACAAAAGAGGTTTTGTTTTTGTTCTGTAGCGTAAATAAAATTAATAAAGTTAGAATTTTGAAGCTGTGAGTATTTTAGTGTATAAGAATGGAAAAAATAGATGTAATTTAAGCTTCCATTTGTATAGGATAAACATTTTTTTAATTACTTTTTAACAAATGCAGATGTGATGGTAATTTTAAGTTTCCCTTTGAAAGGAAAGAATTGAGAAAAAAAATGATAGTAACAAGTTTTATATTTTATTGTTCCTTTTTAAAAAGGCAAACGAAGCTAATCTTAAAATTGGGTGAAGTTACCAACATCAAAAAACTTTACTTTTTAAACTTTTTAATCTCTTTTTTAAGTTTCTAGTTGTGATTATTTTTTTGTGTAAAAATTGAAAAAAAATAGAGGTAATTTAAGTTATCTTTATAGTATAAAGGGGTTTTTTTTTTGTGTGGCAGAAATAATATAAATAAGGTTAGAATTTTAAAACAAAGTGATCGAGGGATTCGAGGCACATAAGAGGGGCAAAAGCTGGTACACGCTAAAATTAAAGACCGAGTTCAAAAACACACACTTGCAGGAGTCCGTTAGTGGTGTAGTAGTAATTAATTTGGGTGAACTGTAATTTATGTAGTAGTTTTGGGTTTTGAAAAACATTATTACCAAATCCAAACCTCTAATAGCTAGGTTGGCTTATGTGCTTCATTGACACTAATATAAGCAGATTTGCCTTTTGGTTTTTGTCATGGATTTGGATATTATTGAAACACTCCCAAATCCAAAAACTAATCGTGCATGCATGCATGCAAAATATGGCATGAAGCACATGCATGTGTATTTTGGAACGATAGATTCTGGTAAATTTGCAGGCGGTTTGTTTTCGTTCTTTTCTGCAGGTTGATGCATGTTTCAAGTGTTTCCATCAGAATTGTGTTTCTTGAGTTAATTGAGTATATGTTGCTGATTTTCAGTAGCAAAATATAGATTTAGATTTGTGTTTCAAGGCATGCATATAAGAGCACCAGATTTGTGTTTCAAGGAAGGGGACATTGTTGTTATCTAGTTGTGTTCTTTCTAGCTCCCATCTATCTATCCAATAATGCGTTATTCAATGCATCTAGCTATCCAATGGATATTTAAATGTTTCTCTGTGTAAATAAATTTAATTTAGGATAAAAATAATGATTTTCTTTTGTAAATATTTCAAAGTTATCATTTTTTATTGTAAAAAGTGTGTTCAATTAAAAGAAGCAGAACTAAAGAGCTGATTACTTGCATGTTCTGAAATTGACACCGTCAATGTTTCCACAAACAAATAACGCACAGAAATAACTAATAAGTATGCTTGTCACGTGGTAACATAATTGTGTTGCCAATACTCCCTCGTCCTATTATAACTAATTTCTCGATTTAACTAAAGCTCATTTTTAACGGAAGGCAAAAATTACTCCTTCATCTAATAATAATGTTTTTGCTCACTATTCACATGATAAAACTGTATTCATTTTGTTAACGTATTTTCATTATCTATCTAATAAATTACTCCGTAATATAGTAATGTCACCCATGACTTTTTAGATTTTTAATGTAGTTTTAAATATGTACTCCGTAATTTTTATTTTTTAATTCTATATGATTATTCATATAAAATGATTTGAAAATAACTTCAATCAAATATCATAACGCACAATGAAAACATTATTGATGGACGGAGGGGGTACATTGACTTTCCATACATGCCCCTACACATTGGATCTGAGTGAATCTATGCCATGGCAGCAAAGAAAAGGATTGGTCAAGTTAACACAATGCAGAGGATGAAATCTGCAATCTACAAACAAAATAGTAGCCGCAAGGGAAGAATCATCACTGTGACACAGACAAAGACAATTATCTTCCGAGAAGGATGCAAGAAAGATCAACCTAGAAGACAAGAGATACGCGAGACGAAGAGAGAAGACCTAGAAGAGAAAAGAAGGATAGGTGAGAGGCAGAGACGTTCAGCTGGTAAGAGGAGAGGGGCATTGATGTCATTTTAGGAGTAAAAACTTACCATTTTAAGTAATGAGGTAATTTTATAGGGCAGAGGAAGTAATTATGCAAAGATGGGATTCAAAGAGACTAGTACCTGGGTAGATTACTTTTGATTCACCTCAACAAGAACACAATGAAGCTTACCACAATGATAATAGTGGATTACTAAACAACCAAAGAATTCAAGAAGCTAGCTAGAGACTCTTGCCTTTGGTAACTAATAAATTGTTTACTATAAATTAGTAGAATGCATCAACAAGGATTCAAAACAAAAAAAAAAGTTTTAACCAAAAGTGATACGACAAACCAAACAGAGGCTGAAGAATCAGATAGCCGCTTTGGGAAAAGGGTGCAATAACATCCAAATAGAGCAATAAGCAAAAGGAAATAGAGGAAAACCGAAGCAGAAGAAAGCTCTTCCCATTTCTTCAATTGAAAAATGCTCATTCTTCCTCCTCTTCATCTCCGGCGCCACCAGCAGCCTTCTTTGCAGCGGCCTTCAGGTTCCTTCTCTTAACTCTGCCAGGCCGGCCACCACCAAAGGGGCTGGAGATGGAGAAATCAATGTGTTTCTGTGAGTCCACCCTAACCATGAAGGATGGGACATTCACCACCTGCCTCCCAACTCTGAAATGAAAAAGCCAGAATTATGACAGGGGTACGCAACTGACATCACAAATGGAGGATAATAAAGTGAATTTAGACAAGTAGAGAATATTCAGAGGACCTTTAAAAGCCACTTTTATGGCTTATCAACCTCCTTAATTGTTTTTTTTTTTGAAAAGAATATAGTTGGATGTCTTTGATAGATACCATTTTAGCTGTTTTCATTTAATTTTTCATTATTTCAGAAAAAGGTATTTTTTTTCCATTACTCCGCAATTTCAGCAGCTCTAACTATATCAACTGCCCACTACAGTTTCAAGAACTTCTGCAAGCGTTAATCAGACATATGGGATCTAAATGCCAAAAGGACATAACAAATTCATCAGAGGCATAAGCTAATACTGAGATCATATTAGAATTATAACATAATGAACAATTATGCAGGCATTCTTTAAGGAAATTTCTTTTCACCTGATGTGTTTTTGCCTAATGAGAACTCTGGCATGATGGATTGACTTTGCCATGCCAGCCTTGAAAACCAGAGTTTGCAGACGGCGCTCTAGGAAATTCTCAACTGTGAGGGCAAGCACATAATCAAGCTTGTTCTGGGTCTCATCAAGCAAACCGTACTTGTTCATCCTCCTCAGAAGTGCATCACCCTGAAAAATACGTGTTGGGTCCTTCTCGTCAAGGGTTAGAAGCTTTCGTGCATTATTCCGGATTCGGCTCAGAGCATACTGGACTCTCCAAAGCTCGCGCTTGCACCTAAGCCCATACTCACCCACAAGCTTCAACTCAGCATCCAAACGCTCCTTCTCATAGGGGCGACGTGGCTTCTTGAAGGTCTTTCCATCTACATTAAGCAGCATATATAAGGTCTCAATGCATGTAGCAGACACACTAATCTATCATACATAAACAAAATCACAACACACCCACAAACACAACATTGTTGATACAAACCTACAATGTGAAGCATTCTCCAATCATCAATTGAAATATCAGTCACATACAGATACTGCTCTGTAGTCTCTTATACAGCAGTACATTTGAGAGCACAACAAAACAAAGATTCATACATCCCTATAAATTTACTTATTCTCTAGAATGGATAAAACCCAACTGAATCCAAATCTGACACCTGGTAAATATGTTTTTTTCTATATAAGGTACTCTAGTATAAATGTAATGTAGAAATAAAAATCATGTAATACAAGTAATGTTTTTTCCTTATTATTTTTTTAGTGTATAAACTTATCTTTTTTTACTAATTTTTAATAATGTTATATTGTAATTTGTAAGATTACATTTTTTAAAAAAAACTTGAAGATGATGAATTTTTTAATTTATTCATAATAGTGTGGTGTATATCTAAAATAAATTAAAAATGCAAAAAGAAAATATTATATTAGCTTAAAATGATAAATTTCATTAGTTTTATTAAATTTTTAAGCAAATATACAAATGCAACAAAAAATTTAAATATTCAAAAAGTAAAGTGTTTATAATACTTTGGGTCAACCCAAAAAGTAACCCAACTGAAATTTTCGACCCCAATTGACACAAAATAGAAGTTACCCCAACCCAAATGTACAGAACCCAAACCTGACTGACCTGCTTCCTATCTCTATTTACCATAGCATACATGTATAATGGAAGCTACTAGGCAGATCATTTTCGGCTGTACGAACCCTTAGGCAAAAACCTGAGTCTTTTTTTATTATTCAAATACAAAGTCATTAAAATGACTTAGCCGGACAAGTAAAGATAAAACCAACTAGGCCCAGACAAGTTTTTAAGCTTCAATGATATGCCAAAAGATCGAGTTTTTATTCTAGATAACGCTACATCTTTCTGAGCATTCGATCTGAACCAGTCATATATGCCACACACACTCCAATGCATTAAAATAGTTATCGCACAGAAATTAAAACAATCGATTCTTCAAAGACGGGAAGAGAGAAGCAAAGGAATAGAGGTCTTACAGTTCCGGTAAAAGGAAACGTGCACCATTTTGGGCCGCCGGAGGTGAGATCCTCAGTTCGGCGATGGAAGCTTACACTCTGCAGGTGAGGCTAGGGTTTGTGTGAGAGGATAATGAAATATTTAATACGGAGTATATATATTGCTCCGAGTGTGCACTTATATGATTTTGGGCCATAACCATTATGGGCTTTCAAAATAAAAATAGGCCCATAACAATTTAATAAACGAAAACTAGAACAGCAGGGGCAGGCCTGCTCTCGCCGCCGGAGCTCCCCCGTCCCGATATCAGCCCACAACCACAGCGCCGCCGTCTGGCGATCCGAAGCTTCACATACTGCACGCCGGATCGCAAAGATCGAATGCTACAGCAGTCAAGGAAATGAACACAATTCCAAGACTTTGTTTCTCCATACTCAGAAAACCTCTGCTAAACCCCGCCTCCTCTCAGACGGTTGTCCGCCGTCTCTCCGGCAAAACCGGCGACGACGAGTGGAATGTCGCGTGGGAAGCCGCCTGGCTGCCGGAAGATCTCTCGGGAAAGAACCGAGCTCCGTGGGAGGCCGACGTCAACTTCTCGCTTCCGAACGACACCTCCTCCAGTGATTCCCAAGCTCTTCTCCCCTCGGATGCTGACCCCGAAACTAGGGCATTCGTGGAGGACATGAACGACAATTGGGATCAGAGAAAGGGGAAAACTCCGAAAAAAAGTTCAAACACTGATGATGTTTCAGCTAAGAAAGCCGAAGATGAGACTTCACTTTACAGTTTGGAGAACATTAGGAAGGACTATAGGGTTAAGAAACAGAGAATACATGCTGGCCTGTGGGTGAAGGAGATTGAGAAGATGGAGGAAGCTAAGCTTGGAGGTGATTCAGGCGATGCTGACGACATAGAAAAGTTGCTGGATAGTGCCTCGGAGTGAGTATATCTATTTTTTTTTGTGATGTTGATTTCTTCTCTTCTCCTTCAGCTTTGAAGTTAATGTGGTGGATTGAATTTTGCCTGTTCACCATGTTTGATGTAATTGGGGGGGTGATGTCCAAACAAGTGCAGGATATTCGACTTCCCCAATGATGACTTGAAAAGGAACAATCATTTACAAGTTTCTGGTTCTGATATGAAAAACAAGCCAGATGGCTGGGAAACAACATCAAAGAGTCTGGATGGGAATATCTGGGAGATGTCACAGAGAGAAGAAGATCTTTTGCTTCAAGAATTTGAGCGAAGAATCGCGTTCAACAAGTTCCAGGTTCGTTGGCCTATCTTGATTTTGCATGTATAGTTTCAAGATACAGAATGTGAGCCAGCTTTGTGTTTTTTTAATGATGGGCAGATAGCGAGTTTTATAAAGACGCATATATTCAGTCGGAGGAGGCCAATCGATGGATGGAAGTACATGATAGAGGAGATTGGACCAAATGCAAGGAAAGGAGGGAAAGGGAGTGTTGCCAGGTTACCCACTTTAGCTGATGCATCCACACAGCCCTTTCACCAAGAGGAGACAACAATACATAAAGCTGATGTCAATAACCCCCTTTATCAAAGAAGAAGGGCAAGGGGGGATTAGTTCTTCTATTACATTCTTACTAATATCATCCATTTCTGTAAGAAAACTCATTTGCCTCCTTGCAATCATATACTGGTTTGATAAATTCTGTTTTTACCATCCTATGATAACATTGATGTCTCAAATTAATTGGTGGAGGATGCTTTGATCTTGGTGAAGGCATATGTTAACCATGGTCGGACACCTCTTTGACTAGTGGATGGACTGTTTGAGTGGTCAAAAATACAAACTTTTGTTCTCTTGAGTGGAAAAAGAATATGATTGGCCACTGCCCAATGAGGGGATGCGAGAAGACTGTGAGAGGCTTGTGATAGTGGGAGATGGTGAGAGGCTTGTGACTGTGAGAGGCTTGTGATAGAGGTAGAAGAAGAGTTGGAAGATGGTGATTAGACAAGGTTAACGACTTCGAAAGTTCTTGCCGAGGATATGATCTTTGATAGGAACGTCTGGAGATAATGGACTAGAATAGTTGGGTAGACCTCTAGGTTTTAGTTTGTAGTTTATGCTCGTATGTTCTTAACTTGATTTGTAGCTGGTGCATGTGTGCTTCATGTGCTTTGGGTTTTGTTGCAAGTGTCGGTATGTATGCTTCTTATTTCCGTGCTCTTACTTTGTATGTGCTACTCTCTCTATCTTGTCTGAGCTATTGTGTTTGAGTCCGGGGTCTTTTGAAAACAGTCTCTATACTTCATAGTACGGGTAAAGTTTGTGTACTTCATAATAGGGGTAAGATCTGCATGTTGTGGGATTTTACTTGGTTGTTCTAATTTGAGCTCATTAATCTAAATTAGACAATGGGATGAAATTTATTGCGTCACTTTTGCATACTGGAGAATGAAAACGAAAATTCTGGAGAAGAGTTTTCTGCTATTCGAATTTGAAATACAGATGAAGTAAACATGTTTATAACATTTTCTCTAATTCTTCAGAAAGCTTTCCCGTTGGTAAGAAGTGTGATAACATCTCTTGTCACTAGGATGGACTTGGCTCCTTGTCATCTGTTGGCCCTGAGGTGGAATCAACAAAGAACTCCTCAACTGTGACAAAAGACATACAAAAATCAGTAGTTAGCGGAGACGAAAAACTAGCTAGCGCGTGCACACACACACACACGTGTGCTGACAAATTAATTTAATAACTTTTATTTTTAGTTCTAGGAAAGTGGATACATCCAATTGGTCAAGGTAATTTTAGATCTCAATAAAACACAATATATAGGAATCAAGCTCCTTGGTGCACTATGTTGTTTATTAGGAAGATTAAGGAAAAGGTAGAACCCTTCTCACTGTTAATGCCAATGCAGTAAGGTACTGAAATGGTGAAAGACCTTCGAGGATGGTATAAAGAAGAAGGATTTAGCTTGGCTAAATTTAAGATTGAACAGAGGTAGAGAGACGGGAATCACGGGATATGAATTGGAATGATAAGAGTTGGTAATTTTCTGATTGAATGAATGCTCTCAATACTAGAAATGGATTTAAATGACCAAGTGGGTAACTAACCCTCTTGCTATCTTCTAACTAATTGGAAGTTAGTTTCCTGTAACACTCACCTAAGTCCTCATGCGCAGGGGAATCAAGTAGAATATCCGAATCAGAATGCAAAAAAGGTGATGAGCTTTGGTAATTCCTGAGAACTGCAGTATCTGCCATCAGATAACAAATATCAGCTATCAGGATAATTGTTTTCACCAACCAAAATACCAACAGCAACAACGGTGTGAGGAAATAGGATAAAGAACAAAATAAATGAACAATCTAAAAAGTATTGAAGAAAAGTGTAGGTAAGAGTTACCTTCTAGGTTAGGTAAATCTTCTGTTAGGTCTAAAAGATTAAAATTCCAAGGGAACTGTGCCAAAGTTCTTAGGGAATCCCTGTAATTTCCAGCACAATAATCCAAGGGCAGTTGCAGCCCATTTGTATTTGCAGCATCAGACATTAATGTTGTGTCAAGGGAGGTGAAGGGGAAATGACCACTTGAAGCCATTGATGCTGAGCTTATTGGTGTATCTGTCATGGATGATGAATACGCATCGCTGTGTGGAACAGTTGCTGCCACATCTGGGTCTATCACCATACTACAGCAAAAAGGAAAACACTGAGACCATCATATCCTTTAGGTGCCATTTGGTTTGTTTGGGTATGGGTAACAAGGATGGGTATGGAAATCTAATACACATGCCACCTGCTTGGTTACTGAAATTGATTTTCCCGACCTATTCCCTTAACTTTCTTAACCCATTTCTTATACCCCAATGCCTCTGGTTTGGCGTTAATTGCCTGCATCAACCTCCCTTCCCCAATGTCCAGGTTATGTCAAATGGTAAAAGCTTCATTTTTTGTCAGATTTAGTTTGGAAAACTCAACCTTCCCTGTTATTTTATTTATTTATTTTACAAAAACACCTCCTTCAAACCTCCGATAGTCTGAAGACAGATTTGAAAAGATAACATAGACCTAGTGCCATCTGGATGTGCTCTATGACTAATTTTCTGATTTTAGTCAGCATTTTTACAAGTCTAGCATTTCGTTAGCATTTTATTGATTGTCTAATTTTACAAGTTTTAATTAATGTGCAATTAGTTATGGTAATGTTTATGTTTTTTTCTAATTTTTTAAATTTTAATTATTTAATTATTTTCCTGATAATTAGTGAGGTCATTTAATTTGCTTCAAATAGATAGTACACTATGGAGACATGGAATTTTGAAGTACCCCGGAGTATTTGATTTAGAATATGTCATGACACAGAGTATAAATTTCTATTAATGTTATCACAGAGTATATATATCATTTATGACTTTTTAGTTTTTACCTAATTGTCGCCTAGACGTTCTGGCAGTCTGTTGGCGACACACATTGCCTTGGCACCATGACAACCTTGATCATATATCGATCATACCTAATCTCATCCTTTTAAATCACATGTTTTATTCCAAACCCATACCCAAACAGACCCTTATCAACAAAGTAACAAGTCCATCTTTTGTAATGGTCTGTAATCAAGTTGATAGAATCCCGCATGTCCTGGTGACATGGGCTTTGCCAAACAAAAAATTTAATATGCACAATAAGGTTATGCAATTCCATCATGCTTACCGACAAGTTGCATAATTAGCAAAATATAACTCCAGTCAATGGATATAAACTGGACTACTTGATGTAAATATCATTGAGACTGATAATTTTTAGCAAAGTTTGAATGACGATACTTTTTTTTAGGAGTACTGCAAATATTGCTTTACGCATCATCATTTCCCCTAAAGTACAAAGCTCTTTCCCTTACGCTCTTGATTTCACCCTCTAATATGTTCCATCACTTTCATTATCAAAGACAGATAAGAAAATCAAATTCTTACTTTTCTTCGGGATTCGTTTGCATTGAATGGTAGTTGTTTGGTGCAGGCTCCCCATTGACCACAGATATCATCATCGGATGATGATAAAAATGAGCTGCTGCCGCTGCTGCTGGTGGTGGTGGAATTGGAGGATGCTGTATGATAGGATATCCTGTGGGTAAACTGTTGACTGCAGTATGAGCAACCAAGCAGCGGTAAGTAGTAATGATCTCAAATAGAGTATAATTATAGAATATCCGACGCTCTTCGTGTTGCTGTAAAAATCCACATTTTTACTTGTTTACTATGTATTCCATTAACTGTAAGCTGCCCATGAAGCATCTGATTGAAATTACAAGATCATTTTAGGTTAATAAAATAAAGTACATTGTTTTTTATCTGTGAGATGTGAAATGGTAACTCAATATGCTCAGTGCCTTTGCATTTAAGTACAAAGACCACATAACTAAGGACATATGTTGCTTATTTAAAATGATTTGAAATGTCATAATCTGCTTTGTTAGTAATAGTAAACCTAAACCATCTCAGAGATCGTATCAGGCGATTCGAGAAAAAAGCTTACCTGATGGAACCATTGGGGGGCATTTCATTAGATGATATTGTTGGTGGAGCAACTGATTGAACAATATGATTTGGTTCTTCAGCTTCAATCTTATGTAGTAGGCTTGAAAAAACTCTGCATTTTCTTCTTCCAATTTCCGCCACACTTCACACAATAAGACAATGTGAAAACTTCTTAAATTAAGGAGGATATCATAGTCTTATCCACTTAAAAAATGAGTTACACTTGTGTGATGTGACCCCACGAATCCCGCCTTCCGTGAAACTTGTCACATTTCAGTCCAGAGTTAACCTTAAGGCAAAAACCATAGGACCAACTTTTCATCCTACCCTCCACACAAACATCATAGTCTGTCAAGTGTGTGTGAGAAAGGTGGCGTAAAATTTGAGGTTAGAACTTTTCAAAAGTGCATTCATAATGTTGTGCTTGTGAGAAAAGTTGCGCGTCTTAGTCTCACGGATTGAGTTTGTGAGATCATCTCATACAAGTTTTAGAGTAACATGAGCACCTACCTAGAGCTGTAAATGCAGGATCAATCCTTGCGCGATTTAAAAGTGTTTTCGCGACTTCATCTCTATTCATATACAGCTGCAAACACCTCTCGATCGAGTTTTGAACCTACACACCATCAAATTCATCATAAAGAAAAGTTCAAACCAAAAAATTCAAGTGAGAGATCTGAAAGGAGTGCAGAATATTACAAGCTCAATATCTTGCCGTAAGAGTTTCCTGTTTTCGTTGGCGGGTGCAGAAATTGATCTGGTGTCAGCTAAAGAGGGCTCCTTTGCATTGTTTGATTGGTCATTTTGTGAGTCACAAGAAATTTGGCTTGATGGCATCTTTTCTTCTCTTCTTTTCGTGAGTCCTACAATTTTTTTTAATACAAAATCATATTAGAACCCCTCCCTCATAAAAATGTGTGAACACTTTTCCTTTTAAACGTTTCCCAAAACACTCTTCACTTGTATTATTTCATTTCCTAGTAATGAGCGTATGGCTTACGAGATTTCAGTCATATAAATTAATTCTAACCATACAATATTCAACACTTTACCATCGATATAGAGTTAATGAAAACGATATTTTCTTTTTCATTTTAGAAAAATTTACAACCGTATCAATCGGATCACTCTTAGGGTCTTACCAAACACACCCCTAAGTTGAGCAGTCTTATAACAAATCACAATATAGTACTATCTATGAAACTCCAAAGTTACCATGGCTTTTTTAGGTTTTAGTAGAGTATGACAAATTAACCTTCCAGAAACAGTAAGACACACACCATAGTAACATAATCATAATCATATATAGTCCTTAATCACTTAATCATAAACATCTCAAACAAACAGCATAGTGAAGGAAGAAATTTAATATTTTCCAAAAAACAAAAAAATAAAGGCAAAACCTCTATCAAACACTGAGAAAGTTACAATGATACTGTAAAGAAGAAGAAGAAATATTGGTGCTTAC